ATCCTGGGGGGCTCAGCAGAAATAACCCTGCGGGAAGGGAAGGATGCACACACCTATGCTAATGCACCGAGCTGCAAACGCTGGGAGCGGATCACGCTGGGAAGGCCCAGCCATCGCAAGCTTTGCATTTAGCCAGGGCACCGACACCGAGCCCTAACGAAAGCCTGGCGCCTGTCCCCTCCTGGGGTGATCGCACCCGCACCCTGCGCCGACAGAAACGGGAGGAAAAGAGAAAAACCCGAGTAAGGCTGCATCGTAATTAGCTGCAAGTGAAGCATTAAGAAATTAGACTCAGTGGCTGACTTGCATTTCAAAAGCAGCCTGAAGAGAGCTCCTCTCCTCTGCATACTTAGCAGGTCACCACTAAGCTCCTGCCTGGAGAAAACCTCCCCAGGGCCATCACACAAACCCCTGGGAAGTCTCGGGGACCACCCCAGCTCTCACAAACTAAACTGCCCAACCGACCGCGTGGCTGGGGCAGAAGAGAGAAAGGTTTCACCCAAATCTGGGCCAGATCCTGCCATAGCCCCAGATCTTTGCAGGTTACAAGCACTTTGGCTTACAAGCCGAAGCAGGAACGGTTCGTGGCTGCTGAGTGCTGTGGAGCCATTAATAAAAATAGTAACCTGGCACTTGTAAGGTGAGAAGAGCGAGGACGAAGGGCCCCATCCAGCAGGATCCAGCACTCCTCAACCAGGAGCCTCGGCGTTAAGCACACATCCCAGTGGAGCACCGTGTCTATACAGAGGGCGAGCACATTTGTGCAACACTGAAGTCGAGGAAAAAAACCTAAAGTGCTCAAAGGGTCCCACTACCGGGGGCTGAGCGCAGAGGGGAAACCCCCGCAAGGCTCCCGTCCCTTTCCTCGTGCCCTCCTGCTCCCGCCTGTCCCAGCTGGGCCAGGGGCACCCACAGCCCCACGCAGAGAAGCTCACCCTGAGGAGGCACAACGTTTGTATTACGGAGCCAGATAAAAGGGCTGGAGGAGCCTGCTGCCCAATTGAGGAGGGAAAGCTCTCAAAGACAGCGTGGGACGCAAGAAACGCATCACCCCTGTTGCAAACCATCTTTCTCGTCTGACCAAAGGCTCATCCTCTCTCCAGCCATCATCTCCACAGCACAGAAAAAGGAGAGCTCATAGGCAAAAAAGTCTATTTACTTAGACAGAAAGTTCCTTTGCCCACAGCAAAATGTGACTTGCTGCTTTGCGACTCCGCATCTCAAAGACAAACGGAGGAAGAAAGGCGGTGCGGGACACACTGCTATCTAATCCACAGAACACCGAAGGAGACACATCTGCAGCGCAAGGAACAGCGGGTGCCTGGGGAGACAAACAACCGCTCCGAGACAGACATCGAGACCTGCCCGTGCCCAGCCTGCCAGACATCACGCCTAAAACAAACCCATGGTGCTGCAGCCAGCCCCGCACAGCTGCCGGCTCCCCTCCGCCGCTCCCCTGCCCGCACGCCGTCCCGGCGAGGAGGGCGGCAGCTGCACGGACTGCTGCTGCAGAGGCAGCCAGGCTGGGACGGGGCAGGAGGAACCAGAGATGCTCCAAACCAAGAAGAGTCGCCGTACTCAGAGCTCCTTCCCACAGCCTCCGGTGTCCACCCTGACCTGGGACGGCTCTGGGCCCCCGGCAGCTCCCGAGTCCGGCGTGATGCCAAGTGGTGACTCAGCAGGCAGAGGCACTGTCCCCACCCAAAATCTCAGCACAATTTTTTCCATTACTCAGAGAGTGGCCCAGAAATAGCCCATTACTAATCTGGAGCCGGCGTGCAAAGGCGAGGGGGGTGAGGAGGCTGCGAGCACCACGCTCCGCAGCAGCCGGCTGGGCTGCCCCCGACCGTGCCCTCGCCCCGTGAGCCAACCGACACGACACCAATGCCAGATGCTGGTGGCACTCTGCTTGGGCAGAGATGAGTTCCGCTGCCAGAGATGCTCTGTCACTCAGCAGGATGCGGCCAGTCCCTGGGACAGGGCTGCCCGATGCCAAGGACCTTGTGCTGTTCCCAGATTGTGAGCGGGTAAGAGAGAGTAGAAAATGTGGAGACGATTTGAGGACGACAGCTTTACTAACAACTGCCACCAGGTCAAATGATTAAAAGGACACGGTCACCCACGCCAGACATGGAAATTCAGATTTTAAACTCTGCCGAGCATTAACCACCCCGAGTTACAGCAAAGGGTGCCCAGCCATGTCAGCAATCCAACCCAGCCCACACAGCAACCGTGGTTTTCGGGCGTGAGCAGCACTTTGGGTGCCTCACCAGAGATGCCTCCTGCTCATTCACAGAGATAACGAAAGGGAGCAGCAACCTTGTGCCGGCACCTCCCGCAGAGCGGCACCGCCAAACCCCGCAGGGCTCCTGCGCCTGCTGCTGCGGCAGGCTGGGGTGACACTGGGATGGCACTGGGACGGCACTGGGATGGCCACGGGTTTAATCTGTGCCACCGCTGCTGGCACCAGCCTAACCCTGAGCAGACAGCTCCTTCGGCACACCAAGAAATTGCAAAATGGTACCAAATTGCTCTGCTCTGCTTTCCAAGCAGCTATTCTAAAGCCATCACCATAAAACCAGCCAGGGCTCCAGGACAGCCCTTCCATTATTGGCCTCTCCCAGCTTCGTGCCTCAAAATGTGAAGTTCCTGCTGGGCAGGAAACAGGGAATTCCTCTGGCAGCAGGATGCGTCCGTCATCCAGCGTCTGCTGCGGGATCTCAGGAAACGGCAGAGAAAGCTGTTAACGCTTTCAAGAAGGAATTGCACTAGGGACAGAAATCTTTCAACAAACTTCCTTGGCAAAACTCGAGCTCCCTGAGCCGACAGAGGGGTTTTGTTCTAAAGCAGAAGTTCCCAAGCGCTGCTGCTGCCGGCCGCACCCCGGCCGGACCTGTCACACCACCTATCAGCAAAACCAGCAGAATTTCTGTTCTGCCCACAGCCCTGGCCGGAGGCACAACCCTGAAGCCTGGGCAGGACAGGGCTGGCAGGGATGAAGCCATGCTGGGAGCAGCCCTTTCATGGGGACACCCCCAGCACTGCCGGCACGGCAGGGCCAGCTCTCCACCGCCCCCGGGCCCCACAGATACCCCACTCTGAACAAAACCTCCTCATCCTGAATGAGCAGAGGAGAGCAGAACAAGGAGGAGGGTCAAGCCTCCAGGCAGCGCTCGCACAGCCCCCAGCATTGCCCCGGTGATCTTCTTGGGGAACAAACCTGGGGCTCGTGTTCCTGCCTTGCAGAGCTGCCACCAAGCATCTCCTCACAGGCTGCCTGTCGGCTGAGCAGAAAACCTTCCTCTGCCCTGGCAGCTCTCTGGTCGCTCCCCTCGGGCTGGAGGCTCAGGGAACAGCCAGCCCGGTGCACGGAGCCCCGTCACCCCCCAGCCCAGGCACCCGCCCGGACCCCCCGACACCGCGACACGACCACAGAAGGAAAACCACCTCTTTGAACAGATCGAGATCTTCCTGGCATTGCTGCGTCTTCAGCTCTGCTAAACTTTTCAATGGTTTAACAAACCAAAGCATTCAAGTGCTCGGTTGGACTGTTTTGATTTAACTCGTTTGGGAAGGAGCTGGGCTAATGCAACACAGACCGGGCTCAAGGCTAGAACCGCCACGAAGCACGTAACTGCGTTTCAAAAACCCCAAAACACACGCCTTCGGCTCAAACTGTGCAACCTGTAACGCAGACAAGACCTAAGGGAGCTCGCAGCATCCAGAGAGCACGAAACACTAGCAGGGAACACAGAAAATGTTTTCTAACCAGTGCAGCCAAGGACAAGCTGTCTCCACTTCTAAACATGGCCCTGTGTGTGCACAGGGCTGCTGCCACCGCCCGAGTGCGCCAAGCGAGGGCACCTCAGGACAGGACCCCGGAGAGGCGCCACCGGGCAAACAAGAGCCGCTTTGGTCAGCCCCAGGCTACCACTGGCCCTGCCAGAGCCTGAGGGGCTGGGGACACGGGGGGTGCCTCCCTCCGGAGCCCCCTGGGAGCAGCTCTCCTCCTGCCCCACCAACAGCTCCTGGCTCCCATCAGCACAAGCAGGGAGCCCCCCAAAAGTGGGTGCCAAGGCAGCAGCTGCCCCCAAATCAATGGGAAGGGGATTGAAGGTGTTTGGGGACAGAATGGCAGAGGTACACGGGTCATTTGCCTGCACTGCCAGTAGAAAGCCCCGCAGTGGTGCTTCACAACAGAAACGGTTTTAGCTGGTAGGACTTGCTGGCACAGCTGGTGCAATGAAAAAGAAAGTAAACTTCCAAATTAAAATCTGACAGGTATGCCCATCGAGGGGAATTTAATTTGCCGAGACATCTAAATCACGGCCAAGGTAGCACAGGACAAGGTACCTGGCAAGTGTCTCGGGTATCAGAGGGACTCTTATACAGAAGCACAAAAAAGTTCCAAAAAGGGCTTGAAGCGAAGAGCAACGCCAAAGGGAAACGCAGCGGCCAGGGCGGAACCCGGGCTCCGAGCTCCCGGGCGGATCTCAGCTTCAAGAGGATCAAAGTGGTGCTGGTTTTGGCACAGCCGCATCTGCAATTTCAGGCTCACGTAGCCCCTGGGCAGGCCAAGCTGTGCGTTTCTGTGTAGCACAGAGGAGACCAGCCTCCAGCCCTCGCTCATGCCAGCCACCATCGCCCACACCCACCAGCTCCCGCTGCTCGGAGCCTCCCCGTCCCGCCTGCCACCGCTGCCAAAACTCCCCGGCACCGAGCACCGAGGAAAGCGTCGTTATTTACCCCTGGGAAAGCTGCCTGAAGCTCTTTCTTAAGACCTAGACCTGCCATATCCAAACGATGAGCGATCATCAAAACAGGAGCTCAGACTCAGTGCTTAAGTTTTAGATCTTACACATTTTTTTCTAAAGTTGTGAGCTATTCTTTAGGCATGATCAGGCAGCCCGGGCTTACAGCACGCTCCAGTGCAGCAGCAAAGGGCAACTGCCCAGACCCAGACCCGGAGCAGAGCGGCCAGGCTGGCGTGTTTTCATTGCTAAATCCCACAAAAACATCCACAAGCAAAACAGAGAAAGGGACTTGGAACAGAAGAATTTTAAAGCCTAAACAAAGCTTGAACCACAAGTGCTTGTGCTTTGTGGGAAAACACTGCCTGCCCTTACCTCCTTTTCCAAAGGACATCATGCCATGTTCTTATTTTACCTCCCGTGGAAGCACCAGCCTTCCCAGACTCACGGCGGTACGAGTGTCTTGCTGAAAGCTTCAAATACCACGCCACAATCTCAGCAGACGCCTGTGCTCGTGCAATGCCTGACTGCCGCTGCCCCAGGGCCAATCAATATTTGCTAATACATTCCTTACTTTTCATGTCAATACGCCTCTCCAGTGTAAACAGCAAGTGAGCCTGGTTATATGCTCCCGATAACCTGTTGGAAGACAGTGACTTGGCTTATTTTCTACTTAAAAAAACGTTTCCCTAGAGAAGCTGTAGCTGTCAGGAACATGGATTCAATTTAAGGTCTGTAAAATCCCACACAGCCTTTAGCTATACTACTTGCAGCTGAGAAGGAGGAGCTGAACATAAATTGAAACTGTTTGGACACCAGAAAGCACTTGGAAAAATGAAAATAAAAGGCAACTGGTCTCAGTGAAATACAGACAGCCAAAGGTGCTACCTCCCCGTCTCCCGTTTCACAGCCTGAAGACTTTGCCGGGGATGCGGCAGTGCTGCTGCCTGGCCCGGGTGGCCCAGCAGGTCCCCGCTCCCGGCCCACCCCTGATGCGCCCCGCGAAGCAACCCGGGGAGCGCGCTGCCGCTTTCACGGGGGTGTCGAGAGGCTGAGGCTGGATTTAGGGGGTTTGGCGGCCACTGGGAAAACTTGGCTGCCAGATTGTTAATGCTGGAAAGGGCCGCGCAGTCATGGTTTTGGAATGCTCCCTTGCTCCTACGACATTACACAATTGTTTCTTTTCTCCTCCCCTGCAAGCCCCCCTAATATAAATGTTTAAAAATGAGCTCAGCAGTAAGCAAAGGGAACTTTTTTCCTTTTTCTGAAGAAAACACAGAGCAGCTGCTCTGTGAGCAAGGCCGCACGCAGGGACGCTGCTGGAGCGGGGGGATGCGAGGAGGGATGGCGGGACAGGGCAGCAGCCCCCAGACTCTTGCCCCAGCCCGGCCTGGGTCAGTCACTGGTTGGGGGGCAGCGGGGAGCCCGGTCCAGGTGGTACCCGCAGGTTGGGACCCACAGCCCAGGGCCGCCCTTGAGGGACAACCCATGGTGGCCAAACTGCCACTGACCCATCCCTGTCCCACACCCAGGGACACCCACCCTGTCCCGGGCACACCCATCCCATCCCGTCCCGTCCCGCTGCACCCCACCCAGCCTGGCTGGGGCATCCAACCCCCCTGCCCGGCTCCCCCGGCAGTGCCCCGGACCCCACATCCCACCAGTAACCCCAGACCCCACCAGTAACCCCACACCCTAGTTCCCCCAGCCCCCACCAGTAACCTCACACCCCACCAGTAACCCCAGACCCCAGTTC